AATAACTAGAAGAAATTGTACTTATTTTTCTTGTTCATATAGTTTCTCATCACTAACATCAGTACTAAAACAAATTATTGGTATAGAAGTGAAAATTATCAAAGTATGGCCATAATTGGTAGCCTCATCTGAAAGATTATTTGGAAAATAACAATTATAATATAGAGAGATTGGTTGGTGGCTAAAAAACAGGAGTTTTATACAGGAGTAAGAATAAATGTCCCTAGAATGAAAACTTTCTTTGTAGTTTTAATGACTTTATCCTTGAATTAATTCAAATATAGAATTGTCCTCTTCTTAAGAACTGAAAGGATATCCACAGTGTGATTAACTTAATATGTCCTTGTTCTGTCCCTAGATGTGACAGACAGACAGACAGACAGATGCTGCTTTCCATAGTTTACAGATGGGATACTAGGGAAGAAAAGTAATACATTGCTTTGTTAGAGATCACCAATTTAGTCAGATGCAGAGACAGGGCTGGGAATTGGGTTCTTGGGTGAGTGGATTTGCCCACTCTCTTCCATTAGACTGTAAATTCTGACAAATGAGATATATTTGCTCAAGTATGAAGATTTCCAATGTTGTTAGTAACCAGGCAGCATGAAGTAACATTTTAGAAATATACTCTATTTTTTTTTAAGAAGAACATTTTTTATCACTGCATCGTGTATAATGTAACATGAATAAAGCCTACCAACTTTCACATTTGTGAGGAAACTCGCATTACTGTAGATTAGTGCCAGGGCAGAGAAATGACCCTATTATCTCAGTAATGGTAATATTGTGCCTCACAGGGAAACTTGCATCATTAAGAGTGAGTTATTATTTTCTTGCAGACACTTTCTACATGTGTTATTAATATATGAAGCCAGAAAGAATTGAAAAGGTTTTTCTAGGGACTTAGGTATGTAACTTAAAGCTTTCACCCTTTCCCGAAACAGCACATAGATGTGTGTTGACACGTTTGCAGAAGCGCACACACACGATGTCACACCTCCATTTCTTCGTATATATCTTTTCTTTCTATGCAGAATACCCTCTTCATTTCCTTGTTAGCTCTAAGACCCTTCTCAGTTGTGGCCTCCCTTACAATTATAATTACAATTACAATTAGGCTGGTGCTCCCTCTGTTTTCCTAGAGTGGTTTATCCCCACTATTGTATTGCGTTTTTGTTTGCTGATCATGTCTGTCTATCCTTATAACTCCCAGTTGAGTGTGTGCTTGTCAAAGACAGGGGCTGCCCCTTTCAGTTTCATATTCGTATCTTGTATGATGCCTGTGTATATTGGGTATTCAGTAACTAGTAAATGAATAAAGGTGTATTGTCCATAGCATATACATTTTGCGACTGTCTTATTTTAAAAATATGTTTAAGATGACCAAACAAATAACAAGAAAATGAGAAGGAAAAAGGAAGGAGGATGGAAAATGAAAATGGGGCCAGGCATGAACTCCCTCATGCCATGAGTCTGTAAGTGCACATGTAATATGATTATAAGTGCATCTACAGTAACATGAATATAAGTGCATTTACAAGGGACACATATATGTGAAACTTAAAAAAATATGTTTAAAAAATCCAATCTGATATTTGAGCCAAAAATTGCATCTTTTAAATTTTGGTCTTAGGAAGATTTCTTATTTTTCCGGATGACACATTTTTGTCAATATATGTCGATGCTCAAGGGTTTGTCTGGAATGCTCATTAGTGCTGAGATTGGGATGTAATCAGCATTTGTTGAAATGGAGTGGTCTCAGTTGGTCCCACTGCTATGAAAACAGGAATCTGTAATAGGGCTGTATAGGGGCTCTTCAGTTCCCGAAATTTTCTGTTATTACTTCTCTTAACCTGTCCTCTTTCAAAAAGCACATAGTCATGGGGTAGGAATGCAAGAGTTCTCATTCGAAATAATGACCTTCTCTTGGAGTAAGTATCTTTTAAATTAGTGTAACTAAAGTACCTGTGATATATGGCTTGCCCTCTGGGTGACCTGTTTGCCAAGTTCAAATAAACAAACATATTCTCATTTGTCTGCTCTCAGGGATTAAATTTATGCAAATCTAGTAGATTTTTTTGGGGGGGGGGGCTTGTTTTTAATAAGAGACTCTTGAATCTAATTCTCTACACGATCTTGTTGATGGAGAACAACACTTTGTTTGCCATGTTGTTCCTTAATTAAGTGTTAAAGTAATGAGGTCTTATTATTCTGGGTAATTTATTTAATACAATGAAGCAGTTAGTCACTCACTGGCAGCTTTTCAAAGGAAGTGGGCCAGGATGCTAACCCATTTCTTTTGGTGTGCCAGCCATTAGAACTGTGTGTTCCAGGGATTTGCTAATCACTTGGCAACTAATTTAAAAGGCGGGAAAGACCGGATTCTTGAACGACAACCACTGACTCACTGACAAGACAGGGTGTGCTGGCTTCAAGGCTTGTCTGTTGGCATGCAGATCTTGCTGCCAGAGGAAAGAAGACTTGATGATGGCAAAGAGCTTATGTGCTGCCTTTCCCATGTTTGTTGGATATCATGAGCATCATTCTTGACCATGGCTTTGGTTTAGCAACTGAGAACTGCTATGTAGAATATACTACTCCAGTTGAATGTTTGTCTCCCTGTTTGTGTGTCCCTTTGTCCACCTGTGTATCTGTTGGTTCATCTGTCCATCAAATACTAGATTTAAGCTGTCCATGAATGGGCTGGAATTAACCTCTGAAAGCACTGTTTAGAATTGAGGGTGGCAGACTTTTTCTGTAAAGGAACAGGTAGTAGAATTTTAGCCTGTAGACCATGCTGTCTTTTGTCAACTCCTTAGCTCTGCTGTTGTACGGCAAAAATAGCCTTAAATGATATGTAAATGAATGGCTGTGTTCCATTGAGATACTGTTTACAAAAATTGACCTACCCACTGGTTTAGATAGAAGTATCTGGCTCAAACGTAGTTTACGTGTTATACAAAAACTTCAAAATGCTTTTAATGCTTATGAGTTTTCTAAAGCAGCTTATGCCTCAGGTTTGTTAATTAGCTTGTCATCTGCTTTGAGTAGTTTGGTAGATTTTAGTGTATTATTTAAACATATCTGTGATTTAAAAAAATATTCATTTCTCTCTCTGGGGTGGTTATAGAAATGCTATTGGATTGGATATATAAAAACAAGAAATAGAATTTTCCTCATCATTGATAACAGTACCATTAAATTTGATAGATTATACTTACAAATGATTTAAAAACTATGTTTTTTGACATGAAAACATGACTAAGATATATTGCCAAATGAAAAAAGGAGAAATGATAAGAAGACCTTCATGTCAGGGTGATTATATATGTGGAAAAAAATACTCACACATGTTTACGAATGTGCATACTTGAATATTATGAACATCTGAAAAGACACTGAATTAGTGGGGGGTCTTAATTTTCAAGCAGAACTCCAACTCTGGCCCATATTAGCAGAAAGATGTATTGAAGGCTAGTGAACAGCTCAGAAATCTTTGGTGTGCCTAAGAACTGGGCTTAGAAGCCTTATGTCTAGAAGCAGTACCCAGAATTCTACTGTGTAACTGGTTTTGCAAAGATGCCCCAGCAGCTAACAGTGCCATGGAACTAGAGTTTGAATGGTTGCCACCACTGAGCCCAAAAGCTGAATCAGCCTCCATTCTTACCAGTACTCTAGGATGGATTCTGGATCCCTGCTGCTCTTCTTGGCCTGGGTGTGTTGGATCGGCAGAGCCCACATTTTGTGCCGTCACTGCAATGAAGCCTGGGAAAGTGCAGATGGGATCCTTACTTCTGTTGTGGACCAAGGGCCCTGCCTCATCATATGGGGCATTTCCCTAATTTAGGAAGAGGATTAAGAAGCCTGGATAACACAAAGCATGAAAGCTGTACCCTGCAGACGCGCAGGAAGTTGTTGGTATTGATAACTCTGGACAGTGGAGTTCAGACAACTCACTAGGGCACAGATGGGACCTTTTAGTTTGCCCTTCTTTGCTCATCGAATTAAAAAAAAATTAAAAATTAAAAAAAAAACATGCAACAATGATAAAAGATTATAGGGAAAATTAACAAAAGGGATTGTTTTCTTCCCCCCAACCACTTCTATTACTTCTCCCACCGCTATTAATTACTGTATTACTGGTCTCAGGTGGGAATTTAAGAAGGCTTCCCAGCATAATGCAGCAATTCCATCAACTTCTTACTCAATTTCATTTAAAAATCCACCTTATGATTTCCCCTGGAATTCAGTCTTTATATTGCATGTACTTGATTGGGCAGAAATAATCATGAAATAGTCTTACCAGTGGCTTATTCTTCCTTTGGTCTAATGGAACTGATCTAGTGTATCTTCTTGAGGTCAAAAGGATTCAGCTTTGAAATTTAAGGTGGTGTCAGCTGCTGTAGTTGATGAGGTATTTGTAGATGCATGGTGTAAAAATGAAATATACTTAAAAATTTGGCACTCCTCTGTGTATCTTGTGTTTCAAGCCCCCCTACATCAACTTCTTGATGGGAAACTTGTCTGAGAACTTAATTCAGTCTGATCAAGTTTTAGTGGAAACATGGTAAAATTTTTTAACTTTATTTTTTTAGAACGGTTTTAGATTCACAGAAAAAGTATGAGGATAGGCTAGTACAGGAGAGTTTCTATATACCCTGCACTCAGTTTTCTGTATCATTAACCTCTTATAGTAGTATGGCATATTTGTTATAGTTAATGAACCAATATTGGTATGTTGTCAACCAAAGCCCTACTGTAAGATTTTCTTAGTTTTTACCCAAAGTCCTTCTTCCATGCCAGGGTAGCTGATATATTTTCTACATTTACATGCGACTTTTTCATATGTGTAGTATTGTCATAGAGCCATATAATAAATGCTATTTCTGTTTTAAGTAACTTATGGAATTTGGGAGAAGAATAAAAGAAAGCTTGCCACAGTGAAATTTTTATATTCTCTTATGCACAAGAGCCACATGAGAAAAAAATAAATTTTTATTTTTTTCCCTGTTCTATATTCAGTTGAACAGGTTCCTGTAGAACCATACAACATTCCCCTGTCCCAGGCCGAAGTCATTCAGGAAGGGAGTGACGTGACTCTAGTTGCCTGGGGCACTCAGGTCGGTAACATTTCTAAGAACTGATGATGTCCATGTTGTGCTTGGAAGCTCTAATTTTTAATCCTGATACTATAAAAATCCAAAGTGTTGTTTTTCTTATAGGTCAAATTTAAGTCTTATTAGTGCTATATCTGTATCTGGTACTGACTTCTGGTTGAGGGTGAGGTGTCTGTTCATTCATATTAAAACATCTATGTATGTGGTGAAGCTTAAAAATCTGTTGAGTTGATAGAAATGTACTCATGGGAAATTGTTTCTTCTGAAGCATGTCCTCATACTTGTTTCTGTGCTTGACTTCCTGTCTTTTTCATCACATCTGCTGCCATCTCTTGTGATACTTGCTCAGCTATGTAGACCAGCCAGGGGTCCAGCCTCAAAATTCTGTACCTTCCTGTGTTCCAGTGAACCTCGGTACTGATCTGCCTCAGTTTCCCCAGTGCTTGTTATCACATCGTTCTGCCTCCAGACTCCTCTCTGGCCGGAGATGTCTACCTCCTCTCTATCTCCTTCTTCTAAACAAATGGTCCATTTTTCTTTTTTCTGTGTGAAAGAAGTACTTATTTTAGAAAACTTGTACAGCATTAAATGAAGAAAAAGAAATCATTTGTAATACTATACCCTCTGACTCTCTTTTCTACTTGATTTTTGGAACGGAGAGGTAGCTCTCCTGGTTTCTTACCACCAGTGGGAAAAACTCTTACCTTTATCTCTGTCACTCAGTGTGCATCTTTGCCTCTCTTTGTAATAGGGAAGTTAGTATATTAGATGCTATGTCCTATAACTTACCTTTTCCTCACACCTTCCGTGTCTGCTGCCAGCCCTTTACTCCTCTTTCTCTTTTGTCCTGTGGTTTTCATAGATCCTTCTACAGATCTTTCAGATTCCATTTTGCCTTTTCTAGGGCTGTAACTTTGTAGTGGTTCCTTCCCTCTTCTGCATTTCTCCTTTCAATGTCCCTTTTATTAAAAGGATGTATATTTCTTCCCTCTCTAAAAAGTACCTATTCTTTACCCTACTTTTCCCTTAAATACCAGTGTATTTCCTCCTTTCTTTTATCACTAAACTTGAACGACTATTTTCTACTACCTGTATTTAATTCCTTAACTTCCTTATGTTCTTATACCTATGAGTTAGTTCTGTCCCCACTGATTTACTAAAACTATTATTGCTAACATTACTAATTTTCTAATTTTTTTTTTTTAAGATTTTATTTAGTTATTTGGCAGACAGAGATCACAAGTAGGCAGAGAGGCAGGCAGAGAGAGTGAGAGGTTGAAGCAGGGGTCCCTGCTGAGCAGAGAGCCCGATGTGGGGCTCAATCCCAGGACCCTGAGACCATGACCTGAGCCGAAGACAGAGGCTCAACCCACTGAACCACCCAGGCGCCCCACTAATTTTCTAATTTTTAAATCAACCCTTATCCCATATCGCTACGCTGTATGACACAGACTACTATTTCCATGAAAACCTTTCTTCTTTAGTTTCTGGGATACATTGTCTCCTGATTTTTCTTTTTCCTTCCATCCTCCCTCCCTCCCTTCCCTTCCTTCCCTTTCTTTCCTCTCTTACCCTGCACAAGTGGTTCCACACTAGGTGTGGAGCCTGACTCAGGGCTCAATCTCATGACCCTGAGGTCATGACCTGAGCTCAAATTAAGAGTTAGTTGCTTAATTGACTGAGCCACCCAGGCACCTCCTCTTCTTCCTCCTCTGCTGCTGCTGCTGCTGCTTCTTCTTCTTCCTCCTCTTCTCCTCTTCCTTCTTCTTCCTCTTCTTCTCCTTCTTCTTCCTTTCCTCCTTTATCCTCCTCCTCCTTCCCTTCTTCTTCTTCCTCTTCTCCTCCTTCCTTTCCTCCTCTTCCTTCCCCTTCTCCTCCTTCTTTTTTTCCTTTTTCTTCTTCAAGTGAGTTCCTCCTTCTCCATTTTCCCCATAAATGTTGGTCTTCTTCAGGGACCCATGAGTTCTGCCCTTTACTTCTCCTTCCACATGCTTTCACTAGAAACTCAACCTGCTCCTCTAACTTTACTTTCTGTGTGCTGGTATCTTAAGAATCAGCGTCTCTGTTAATGACTGCTTTCCTTTCCTGAAATTAAGGTTATCTTTCCAACTGTTTTCTGGACATCTGTGTTTGATTACTTTGGGGAAATACGGGGATCAACATATCTAAAACAAATTTAATTCTCCATTGCTAATAAGTTCCTCTGACTTTAAAGACTCTTTCTATTAATGATATCAGAATTCATCTAACTTTTTGGGTCTAAATCTCTGTAGTTATTTTCTGCTATTTTTATTTCAGGTTCATGTGATCCGAGAGGTAGCTTCCATGGCTCAAGAGAAGCTGGGAGTGTCTTGTGAAGTCATTGATCTGAGGACTATACTACCTTGGGATGTGGATACAGTTTGCAAGGTATGAATTTAGTGTTGATAGAGTGTCATTTCCTTAAACCTGTGGACCAGATTTGTTGGCAGTTTGCAAGGAATTGTTTTGAAATTTAAAGCTTCATGAGCATTTTCAACTGATTGAAAACTTCGAAACTTACGCTGTGACAGAAACATGTTATATAAACAGCTTAATGCTCAAGGAAACCAATCACTTGAGGGTTTTTCCCTCCCATAGTTCTTTGTTTAAAATATTATGGAACTGTGTCCTTTATGCAGCCTGCTTGGGTTGAGCTGTGAAAGTAATGGAGTAGTGCAAATGAGAGTATATCAGGTTGTTGAGGTCACCTGTGTTTTTAACAACTTATGGGTTATGGTTCGATAAGCAAGGTTTAATAGAATCAACTAAATGGTTTGTCTGAATTTTCATTTGTCTCCTCTCCAAAAGAGGTGGAGATGGATTACTTAAAAAACAAGACAAAGCCAAAAACAAAAACAGAAACATAACAAAACCCCAAAACAACCCTCTCTACATAGTCTTTGTACTATGAATCACAGTTTGAGTGTTATGTTGTGAGATTCTGTCTGCTTTTAGTTTCCCATCTAAGCAAACTCTTGATAGTCCCTTCTCAGGCATATAGTTCAGTTCTCATTTCTTGGTTATAACTGATAGCTTTCATATTAATAAACCAAAGTGCATCTGTTTCCATTGTGGTCTATAAGGAAGATTAAGCTCTTTTTGTGTGATGGTCTTATGTACTAAAGTTGAGGTAATGTGGCATGTCTTACTTTTTCTTGATTTACTGTTATAGCAAGTGAATTCTAAGACCTAGGGTATTTTATATCCTTTTTAAAGAATAGATAGCTTAGCTGTTTCTTAGGTTAGTCATGTGAAAAAGATCTGCAGCTACTGCTGCTCTTAAGAGTATAGCGTAGGGTGTGTTTAGGTAAAGATTGTTTTATAATTTATTGGAAGACTTAAGATAGTAAATGTTCTGTAGACTCACTTGACATCATCTAGACACTTGACAGGGGTATGGATGGCTTCAACAATATTCTAAGTCTTTCTAGTTTCCATCACTAAGAGCAGTATTTTAGGTTGAATTACTCATAACTGTTGGAGAGTCATGCTTCTTGAAGGCTTTTTCAAATCAGGTCAAACACTGGGTTTTCTTTCAAGTAGCCAAATATTCCAAATTATGGTTAAACTGGAGCTGATAGCCTTTACCCTAGGGTGGGCTCCTTTTTTGCAACTGTATCCCCCATTTATTCTTGGGGTTTGTAGTTATGGAGTGAATAGTGCTTTTCTATGGGGATATGATGTTTTGTTATGCTGCAGTGGGGAGTACTGTTAAATGGTTGGGGTGAGTAGTTTTAAACTATATTGATATTTTTATATACTTTATACATCTAAACAGAATTTGGAGCAGCTTATGGTAAAACACAAATATAACAACACTTCATGCTTAATTGTGAAGGTAAAGTGAAGAGAGAAGAAGAAAGAAGGGGGAAATTATTTATTTATATTTACCTCTACATAACTTTGCTTGTGGGGTATGCCCCCTCCACCCTTTATTAAATCTACTGATTGCATCTTTGTGTGATCCCGGAATGTAGATTCTAGTTCTTTGGGGCCCTTTACTACTGGAAAAGATGAAAGAGGACACTAGAGACTGCTCCTGAATGAAAAGATGATTCATCAAACCACTGAGTTGCTGGCTTCATCCTTTTAGTCTTGTGTTGGGGTGCTTTCATCATGTTATTTTTCTAGTTGATGACTCTCTAGTTAGGACAGTGAAAGTCAGCTTGCCTTTTCTTGATTACTTTGAGTTCTGTGACTTTATTCATTGCTGACCATGGTAATCTTCTGTTTTCCTTTCATGTATCAAAGAAAAGTTTTGGTATGTGGCATCTTTCTAGGGTTTGGAGATGACTTTAAAGAAGAGGACCCTAGAGCTAAACCTCATTAAAAGTGAGGCTTCTTCTTCTTCTTCTTTTTTTTTTTTGAACTACAGTTAACGTTTTCTTTATGAATTCTGTAGTGATCAAAATTTATGTTTATTATCTTTTTCAGTTAGTGCTGTGTTTTGTTGGTTCTTTTGTTTTATGATAAAATTAGATTCCTCAGCTTTGTTCATGACATGTTAAGCTCAACACCCAAAAGCATGTTTTGGAATACCTACTCAAGAAAAGGCCATTAAAGGTTAAAAACAAAAACAAAAACCCAACTTATTGAACATACATAAACATAAGCATATTATGCATAGTAAATGACTCTGGGACAGTTGAGGAATTGGTTAATGCAGTCTGAATTTAACTGTATTTTAAAAAACATAGTCATTCTTTTTGCTTGAGCCTTGAAGCATTGTTTAGAAGTTATAATCCTGAAAAATTTCTTGGGGACAGAGAGCAGCAGAGTGTTTGAATGTTGCTCGGGGAAGCTACAAAATTGGAGACCTGAGTGGGTCCAGGAACCAAGAACCAGTGGTTCATCTACTGTTAGGGACCTGATATTAGAGAGCTAAGCTGGAAGCCTCTGAAAAGCAGAATAAAAATTCCCAAGTTTTGAAGTGCCTGGGAGACAGTCCTACCTTGGAAGTTGGAAGTGTGAGGGGAGGGGATAGCTTAAGAACATCACTGAGGAGAGCTGAAAGCCCTGAAGGGCATGGTAAATTGACTCTTTTTACTTGGGGGCACCTGCCAAGTAAGTCTCAGCTAGACACTGAGAACGCAGGTTGTAAAGGATTCATGTTTCATGGGTTGTAGTGACAAAATAGGAAACTTGGGGTGGGCGGTGCTGAAACACACAGTTGGGCTCCCATTCAAGATAAACGTCAAATTTTACAGCTGTGTACGGTGGAAACTAAGAAGCAAATGCCTGGAAGGCCAAGCCATCTTTTGAGACTGGAGTGTCAAAGATCAGCCATACTCTCAGTTGAAAGTTCTAGAGTCAGGTCTTAGGATCTACAAGAAGTAGATTGAAGCTTCTCAAATCCACAGCACAGCCTCTCTCCCTCTCAGTTCCTTATTGGATTAATATAACTTACCTTCTGTTCTGTCTGCCCAGCACAAGGAGTCAGTCCTCCCATCATCTGGAACCTCTGTGAATCAGCATTCAATAAAAAATTACTAAGTATATGAAGAGACAGGACAATTTGATTCAAAACCAAGAGAAAACAGAAACAATAGAAAGCAGAAACAGGCGATCCAGTCATTGGAGTTAGCAGACAAAGACTTTATTATGTTTAGGAATATAGGAGGAAGAAAAAGAACAAAGGAGGTAAGAAGGTAAAGAATTACCCTGGAGGAGTGTGTGTATGTGGGTGTGTGTTAGAGAGAGAGAGAGAGAGAGCGAGAGAGAGCATTGTAGAACTAAAGAAATACTTGTCAGTAAGAACTCAGAGGATGTGTTTACAAACTTATTGGACTTAGTAGATGATAGTATTATGAACTAGAAGGCAAGTATATAGAAAATGTCCAAACTGAAGCACAGAGAGAGGGGAAAAATAGAATAGATTAGAGCAGAAGAGAGCATAAAACACACCGGGGTTCTGGTCAAAAGATCTGTCCCATATATGATTAGAATTCCAGAAGAGGAGAGAATGAATTGGTCAGAAGCCATATAAAAAATATTTCTCCTTAAGCTTTAAGGACATCACCATTCTTGAGGATTTGTAAACCTCTAAGGATGTATTCAAGAAAACCAAACCCACCTACAAAATGGAATGACATCTTAAATTGCTAAAGATGCCAACCTAACATTCTATACCCATTGAAAACATACTCTTAAAGTTAAGATGTAATAAAAAAAAATCTTAGGCCCATAGAAATTGAGAGAGTTTCTCACCAGCACATTTTTACTAAAAACAATACAACAAGGCATTTCTTTAGGCAGAAGGAAAATGATCCTATAAGTCAGTCAGAATGGGCTTATATAGAGTTACAATATTCTGTTCTAGAATTATTAAATGTAATATTTTTATTAGATCATAGTAAGTTAGGGATGCATGTTGTAACCTCAGGACTAACAATTGAAATCATAGTGAAAGTATATTTCCAGCAAGTTAAAAAGGGACCTATAGATAAATAGAAGTATTTGGTTAAACTAAAAGAAAGGAAAATATGTTAAAAAAAAGAAAACCCAAAACAAGTAAACAGACAAAAAACCCCCAGACAAAACAGGTGTGCCGTTAGAAAACAGATAGATGATAGCTATAAACCCAAGTATATAAGTAATTAAACACAGAAGGATTAAATCTAGTATACGTTATGAAATGCCACAGTATGCCTAGCTCAATTGAATATGGAACATTTATCAAAATTGACCAAATGCTAGGACATAAATATAATCTTAAACTTCAGACGTTTAAAGTCATTTAGAGTTTGGACTATAGTGGAATTCAGTTAGAAATTGGATTCTAATTTCTGGAAATTAGAATTTCCAGATTTCCAGAAAAGCCTCAACTTCCTACCAATTAAATTTAAATCAAAGGTTGTAAAAGAAACTGAAACAGAAGTTAGAAAAATACTGAACTGAAGGGTTATGAAGTTACTAAATATCAAAAATTTCAAGATTCAGCTAAAGCCATGCTCGGAGAGAGCTGTATGACCGGAAATACATATATTTAGAAAAGAGGAATAAGAACAAAAAAATTAGTGATCTGAATTTCCATCTCCAGAAAGAAAATCAAATCTAGAGAAAATAGGATAAATGTAGTGATAAAGAGCAGAAATCAGTAGAGAAGTTTAATAAAGTAAAAATTAGATTTTTGAAGAGACTAATGTACTTGATAAACCTTTAGCAAGATTAATGGAAAAAAAACAGGGCAAACACAAATGACAAACACCAGGTATGAAGAAGGGGGAAATCACAGAGCCTACAGACAATAGAAATATACTAAGAGTATAGCCTGAACAATTTTATGAATAAGTTTTGGGTGAAATGGACAGATTTCCCCGGAAAATACAATGTTTTCAAAAATAAAATTTAGAAAACCTCAATAGTCCTATATCAAAGAAACTGAATCGATTTTCATTAATGCTTATACAAGGAAAACCCTAGACCCACAGGGCTTTGCTGGTGAATTCTTTAAAACACAGTTCTTATGCAAATTCTTAGAGAAAATAAAACAAGAGGGTATATTTCCAAATTCTTTATATAAGCCTGGCACAATCTTTATATCAAATCTGTTTCAGACAGTATATAAAGAAAGATTATAGACACATTTTTCTTATGAATGGAGATGTAAAAATCAGAATATTGGAAAGTCAAATCCAACAATATGCAAAAAGATAAAAGTGAGGGTTTATTTCAAGTATGCAAGGGGTGTTTGACATTCACAAACATTCACACTGTGGTTGATGCAATTTCCCACGTGAATAAAAAATGGGAAAAATAATCATGATGAGCTTTGTAATACAGAAAAACATTTGTTAAAAGTCAGCATCCGTTCATAATGAAAATTTCTTAGTAACCTAGAAATAGAAGGGGAATCTATAAAGAGCAGCTTTATCTTGTAGCTATGAATAGCTATAAAAAGCCTGCAGCAAAAATTATATTTCCTACTGAAATTTTGACTTCTTTTCCATGGAGATCAAGAATGCAACAAGGATGCCCACACATAAGGGCAAGAGATACAAAAATCATATGGATTGGAAAGAAGTAAAACTTACTACTCATAGATAACATGATTTGTATGTAAAAAGATCTAGTGGAATCTATGGGCAGATCATTAGAATTCAGTTTACCAACACCCCTGGAAACAAGGTCAATATACAATAATTGTATCTTTATATACCAGCAACAAAATAGAAAAGGAATGTATAATACCAGCAACAAATAGAAAATTAATTGATAACATTTGAAAAAGCATAAAAAAAAATCAAACATCTAGGGTGAAATTGAGTGATACGTATTCAAAAACTATGCAGAAAATCACAAAACATTATTCTGAGAAATTAGAGAAGATGCAAGCAAACTGAAGCACATACCCTATTAATCTATTGTAAGGCCAAGACTAGACAAGGCAATCTTGAAGAATGAAGCTGGAGGACTTAGTTATCAAATGTGTTATAATCAAGATGTATTGTAAGGTTATAGTCATTACAGCATTGTACTGGGGTAGAGTTAGACCACAGTGCTGCCACTGATTAATTTCCTTGAATTTATAATGTAGTGAGCCTTTTTGTAGACTTAGGGAGAGCCTTGGTGTCCTCTGATCTGGTGCAGTTTTTTTGGTCATTCAACCAGAAACCCATACCCCTAAGTAGAGCTGCTGTTCTCACGCTCCGCAGGGATAAGAACCTTGGCTAAGTGTTGAGGGCTTGAATAGATTTCTTGCTGAGATACAGACCACATTTGGAGTGAGTTAAAAAGCGAGCTACAAAGTTAAAAAAAAATCAGAGGCCAGGCACAGAGTTAGGCTTGAGGTACTGTCCAACTTGAAATGTTTTTTGTTTTTGTTTTTTTTTTTTTTTAATGTGTAGAAATTCAGAGAAGCTGCTTATGGAAAAGAAGAACTTGATTTAGGCAGGAGAATGACAATCTTTGAAAGAAACTCAGGATTCAAGAATAATACTGTCCTTCAACTTAAAATCAACTGCCTACAACAGTGCAAAAAAGAAAAGAAAAATGACAGTTTACAAAGTCTAGGTGATTTCCTCATGTTTATAGAGAAGAAAGTATTGACATAGAGCTTTGACATGCTTATACTTTATTTGAAGATTAAATATGTTAATTATTGAAATAGATAAGGGTTTGCCTTTATATCTTGGAACCTTTTTTGATTTCTCTCTTTCTTCTTCTGCCTGCCCACATTCAATTCCAAAGCAGATCTTGCTGGCTTTGCCTACACAGTATGTCCAACATCTGCCCACCAGCTCTCATGCTCGCCTGGGTTTTGGCCGTAGCCTCGAAATACTGTCTTATTTCTGCTCTTCCCTTGTCATAGGCAGAACTGATCCTTTCAAATGTGAGTCACATCAGGTCCCTTCTAGTCTCAAAAGGCCTCAATAGTTTCCCATTAAAACTGTTTAATAGTGAAATGTTTTGAGTTTGGTACTTTTTCTTATTTTTAGTGGTTATACAAAGGTCTGAAAAGTAACTCTAGAATAGTGCTTTATGAATATATCTGTTTTAAGCTGAAGCATTTATTTTAAAGTCTTGAGTTTTAGTTTGACCTTGTGTTTTATTTTTCTTGACAGTTGTCCATTTTTCATCATGGTATATAGAAATTATCGTTTGAATTCTCATTAGAACAGGACCAATTTATTCCAAAAAGCAAAGCGAAAGTGACTACAGTAAACCTCAGCTATCTTACAATTTCTGAGAATTGAGTTCTTATGATAATTTTCTACATCGATGAGAGTTACTGTTTCTGGGTAGTAGTTTTAAAAACTTCTTAACCTTTTGAATGGCAATATTTCCAGAACCTTTTCAACTTTTCTCAAGGAAAACGTAAAGTATAAAATTTCATCTTTCAGAAATAATTCATCCAAATGAACATGAGTTGTTACACTGTGTTGACATTTACATTTATTGAGGTATGTGGCTGTTGACTTCATTAATACATTTCTGTGCTTAATTTCATGGTTTTAAGCCTCTTTAAATTTAAATTTTCTTTTATCTTCTGCCATCACATCATTGCCAGGTGCCGTGGGATCCGGATGACCAAACTTTATAGCTGAGACATGTACGTTGTCCAGGGAAGGCCTGTAGTGATTTCTCATGAATCAAGAACACATGCTTTGCTCTTCAAGCCTTAGGTTACTAACTTGGGTTTTTCCGAACCTTTCTCCTCTTATTTCCTTGCTTGTTTTGTGAGGTGGATCATTGTCAAGGACTTTGGAGCTGGAAGAGGTCAGCCTGGGCCTGCTCCCTTTGGTCTTCCTACTGGTCCCAGGAGTGACCTGTGACTTTTAACATCCGTCATAGCTATTAGGCACTGCTTCTGATCAGGGGTTTTCTCTGTTCAAGCATACTGGTACGAGATACTGGTGGAAAGTCTCTCTCTCCTTCCCCAAACTAATCTACCTTTTTTTTTTTTTTTGAGGCACACAGGAGGTGGGTTGTTACCTTTTAAATTCTTTTTTTTTTTTTTAAAGATTTTATTTATTTATTTGACAGGGATCACAAGCAGGCAGAGAGGCAGGCAGAGAGACAGAGAGGAGGAAGTAGGCTCCCCGCCAAGCAGAGAGCCCGATGCGGGGCTCGATCCTAAGACCCTGAGATCATGACCTGAGCTGAAGGCAGAGGCTTAACCCACTGAGCCACCCAGGCGTCCCCCCTTTTAAATTCTTAACAAACTTTGGAAATGATATAGAAAGGAACTTCCTCTCTCCCTCCCTCTTGCTTTCCCTCTCTTTTCTCTTTTCGACCTGACTTGTGTAGCAAAGGTTGATGATGTGCCATCGATGCCAACGGTTGTTGCATGGCTGCATGTTGAGGCATCTATGGTCTCAGTATCTTAGGGGTATCCTGGGAGCAGGGCGAGGCCTCCGTGGCACTACAACGTGGGACAGAAGCTGGAAGTAGGTGGAAGTAGGTTTGCTGTGGCATGAGGAAGTGACTGCAGTTGGGAGGGAGCATTTAACATCCTCTCCTCCTGTCCTTTCACGCCAGCTGTTTTCATGCTTCAAAAGACTTCACTGGGACCCTGGATGAAGTTAAGGCAGGTTCTGAGGCTGGCGGGGAAGAGGGGTGGAGGTGGGGAGGTTCTGGGAGCAGAGTCCCTCAATAAAAAAAGGACAAGGGTATTGTAGGAGTGGAACTGGGAAGAAGTGGGAAGAAGTTAAACCTTGGTCATCTGGGTGTGGCTAATCATTTATATATAAAGAACCAAGTTTGCTTACTCTCTCTGTTTGCACCTGGTGTTAGTGTATTTGTGAATAGTGCAAAGCAGATGGAGAAGATCTGAAGTACTATTGAAGATAAACGTAAAAACATATGGGTTACATTTTATGACTTTAATTATAATTTTGTAGCCTTTAGGTTTTTTATTTTCATAAGATCGATTTGGATTACCTTAGGTTTCATTTTTAGTAAGATTACTAACACTTGCAAGGTAATATTTAGGGTCTGTACTTGGTGTGAATGGCTCTAAATTGGTTCTGTGGGGAAGTTGGAGAATTTGCCTTTAGAGAACCTATAATGGCTTAGTACTCCCAGTTACATACATTTTTTTAGTCCAATTTCTTGGACCTGATTGATAGTTCACTGGTTGAATACTGGGTCTTTTGCTGGAAGTTTTTAATTGGTGAGGTAAAGGGGAGGGAATAGGAGAATGAATGAGAGAATAAGAACATTACCACAGTGCAGGGGTGGGCAGGGGAGCTAGTAATTACCTGTAACCACTAGAGGCCTCTCTTAAGCCAAGTTTCATGGTTAGTATCACCAGGTTTCCATAATGGGGCCTGACTCTGTCATTGTAAATTAAGCATATCTTATGTTGAGGTTCAGAATAAATAGTATCAGGGCGCTTTTTTTCCTAGAACATATATTATAATGTATCCCAAATGTTTTCTTTAATGTGTTTATCAGAACAACCAATGATTTATTTGACTGAAAACAAATTAGAAATCTCCCTCTGCGCTTTTCTTTCACTCTCTAAATAAGTTTTTGATAAAAACATGTAATCAAAGAATATGCCCAGATGAAAATTATATGCCTCTGATATGATGCAATGATATTTAGGTTTGAAATTATTACGTATTTAGCATGGTGTATTTAATTGTTGAGAGTAGTAGGTGTTTTTCTGAGGTAGACTCTAAGTAAAGTTATTTTAGGTTGTATATTTAAAATTTCACGTGTTTCTTTCATGATTATTATAAGCTTCTGATATAAAAAAATCTAAGAAATGAGTCAAAAACCTTTTTTAGGCTCAATACTATCTGGGGTAAAAATAAGTGCTTTCCTTTAGGAATAATGAAAATATCATTTTTAGTTTGGAATTACTTTAGATGTGGGTTGACCTTGCAGAGAATGCAGGCAGGGAAGGCAGGTCATCCTGTCTGATAAGAATTGCTGCTCTGTTCTAAAATAGGAAGGCTGACCATTTGGAACTTGGTTCTGCTTTTGACACCTCATGGTTCGTATAGGATTTTCTTTGTCATGACCACAACTGGTTAGTTGTACGAATTGGACCACATTCTGTGTTCTTAGGTGATATACTTGGGATGTGATGACTACATTTGTTGCCCTGCATGGTGGCCCGTGGATGATTCCTTGGAGTTCCATGAGGGCAGGGGAGTCTTGTGAATTTTGTTCATTACTGTGTCCCTCAGAATTTTGAAGAGTGTGCGGTATAGAGAAGAAACTCAGTACATATTTGTTGAATGATCTTATTATTGCATGTCAAAAATAGCATGAAATATGTAGTAAGCAGTCGGTCTTTGAGTGGAAGAAATTAACAGAGAAACTGGTAATTTCTGGGTGCCTGGGTGGCTCAGTCGGTTAAGCAGTTGCCTTTGGCTCAGGTCATGATCTCAGGGTCCTGGGATGGAGCCCCATATGGGACTCTCTGCTCAGCAGGGAGCCTGCTTCTCCCTCTCCCTCTGTCTGCCTCTCTGCCTACTTGTGATCTCTCTCTGTCAAATAAATAAATAAAATCTAAAAAAAAAAAAAGAAACTGGTAATTTCTGTAGAAAAAAAACATCCTGAGAGTATCACTCCGTCTACCTGGTCTATTTTTAGTATGATTTACGTTTTAGGTATGCCTTGAAGAAGATTAGGATAGTGCCTGGGTTCTGATCTAACTTTGTGTAATATACGAAATATAACAAGGCTTGATATACCGCTGGTGAGTGGTAGGTCAGAGTTTAAAACAACATGTTTTATGCATAGCTCCCTTAGAATTCACAACAGTTCTAGTTAGCTGTCACCGTCATTATTTTATAGGTGAGGAAACTGAGTAACTTGTTCCCGGTCACACAGCTGAGAAGGTTGCTGGCCTCTGCTTTTATTAAAGCATGCGGCTTCTCAACCAGTTTGAGCAGACTTTGTAAATATTTTTCAGATGTGATGAAATAACTATGATTTGGGATATAATTTGAATGTAACTTGTACATGTAGAAGATATTGGCGGTTGCTGTGTGTTTACCAGGAGGAGTCGTTTCTGTTTCTTTCCTGCGGGGCTTTCTGTGAGGTCTGTAAAGTGTAAAGTGTTCCGACAGAGGCATTTCCATTCTCTTTGCTAAGAATTTCTGTTCCCATTTTAGAGATGAGGAAACTGTGTGTCAGAAAGGTTAGAAACCTTCCAAAGTGACTCAGCTAATGAGTGGCAGAACTGCAGTTCGGTCTTAGGTCTTAAATTCTGGAATGCTGACATTTTCATAGTATCCCCGTGCCTCATGTTAGAATAGTTATTTGATGATTATCTAACTTCATGCTTTAAAAACGATCCTTTGAATTTTACTGATGAAATGCTTCTAAATTTGAGCTTGCAAATATTTTATAACATTTCAAGAGTTTTCTTTCACATTTGCCCACCTGTATAACACTTTTTAAAAGAATAGAACATTCCTAAACACTGTATACACCTTGTAAATCACACTACCATATTTCACTTCATTTGGCATTATTTTTTTTCCTTCTACATGGAACTGGAGAAAGCAAGATTAAATTTTATAATTTTATTTTTCCATTTCTAATCCTCCTTAATATGTCCCCTTATACACTTGAATTATTTGAGTTTCACTCAAGATTTTCATTTTGTTGAAACTATTTGCTTTTGGTGTTAGGGAAAGCAGTGAAAAGAAAGAAATCCATTACCTCATTTCATAGTGAAAAAAGCTCATAGGTACTTTGTGTTCTTAGTTTAACATTTTAGATTCAATGTAAGAAATCTACATTTGTTCTTTCTTTTTCTTTTTCTTTTTTTGATGGCCATCAAACTGGTACTTACATTTAGGAAATTGTAGCATTTATGCTATAATTGGTAAGTTTTTCTTGCCCTTTCTATTATAATACTCTGGTTTTACAATGTCTAGCTGTTACAATTTAACTTAAAACTGTATTAAAACTATGGTCTTCAAAAGATTTTAAAAAGTAAAATTAAGGAATAATACCATTTACTTCTATAATTTTTCTATTCCAAAATTGAAACCACCCTTATCAGTCATGGATAGTCAAGCCTTCCAAACACACACACTCCCTGTCACATGTTTTTCTTGCTTTTTCTTCCAAGAACTTGGTTTTTTCTCTTTTTCTCTTTTCTTTTAACATGGTTTCTTCTGTAGCTGTTACACATCTTAAGTTTATTGTTTAGTACTGTATGCATTTTTGTTGTTATTGTGGATAGCATCATTGTTATTACAGTTTATCCTTTTGTTGCCTTTTCTGTGTGTAATGGGAGAGGTTAAAAAAATTAAAGTAATACATTACATGTCAGTAACAGTTTAGCAGAACATATAATGCCAAACAATATTTTCCATCCCTGTTTTTAGGCCCACCCCTAAACCCGGCCACTTTTAACCACTTCTCTGTTTTGTTCTGATGGCCACTTCCATATCTTTAAGACATTATATGGGTATTTTTGTCATAATACTTTATTCATTTCTGCAAAGATCTGGATTCTAAACATATACCAAAAATAACAGGGTTTATGGAAGTAGATTCAGCAGATAGCTCAGAACATACAGAGCTTTGTTACTAGAGCAAGGAAGGTTTGAAACTAGAGTCAGGAAGGGGTGAACCTGCTGGGTTATGGAGTTAAGGGCAAAATGCATAAAAGTTGGGGAGAACCATGCAATAAACACTTCTAAAACGGAACAGATGGGCTAGGCCGAGTCAAGAGGCTTAGTGTATGGAACTGTTTTTCTCTGAGGCTCTCAGCTCTGTGGTTATGCATTGCCTCTTACTGTGTTTCTTAGCATCATAAAACATTAATGTGCTAGGGTGAATTGCATATATGCCAACATCCTAGGCCAGTTGCTGCTGACTCTGACCTAAAAACATATTTCATACCTTGTGCCAGATAAAAGGACTCCCCTTGCCCAGTCCCTCATGTAGGTCACTGATGAATTGGGTTTGATTGACTGTGCCTAGGTTACATCTTGATCTTAGCTATGATGGAGACTCGAAAATCATTTCCTTAATTATCAATCCCACTTCTTCAAGGAAGAATGTAAACAACTATAAAAATATGGAGAATGGGGCACCTGGGTGACTCAGTTGGTTAAGTGTCTGCCTTTGGCTTAGGTCATGATCCCAGGATCCTGGGATCAAGTCCTACATCAGGCTCCCTGCTCAGCGGGGAGCCTGCTTTTCCCTTTACCCTTCCCCCTTGCTCGTGATCTTACTGTTTCTCTCTCTCTCAAATAAATAAATGAAATCTTAAAAAAAGGAGAATGCGTTCAAAGTTTTGGGTTATCCCATAATAAGAGAGGTCCAATACATACATATCACAAATGTATATATATGTCTACATGTGTGTATATCATTGTATGTACACCTTCATTTATCAGTTAAAAAAATTATTTCACACTCGGGTGTTACCTATTAGCTTCACCTTATCATTTCCCCAATTTTGAGTTATTTTATTTATTCTACTGATTGTCTTTTGACTTTTTTAAAATAATATATAATGTGTTATTTGTTTCAGAGGTACAGGTCTGTGGGTCATCAGGCTTACACATTTCACAGCACTCACCATAGCACACACCCTCCCCAGTGTCCATCACCCAGCCACCCTATCCCTCCCTCCCACCTCCCAGCAACCCTCAGTTCGTTTCCTGAGATTAACAGTCTCTTATGGTTCGTCTTCCTCCCAATCCCATCTTGTTTCATTTTTTTCCCTCCCTTCCTCCCACGACTCCCTGCCCTGCCTATCAAATTCCTCATATCAGAGAGATCACATGACAATCGTCTTTTTCTGATTGACTTATTTCGCTTAGCAAAATACTCATTAGTTCCATCCATGTCGTTGCAAATGGCAAGATTTCATGTTTGTTTTTTTGATGGCCGCATAGTATTCCATTGTATACATATACTACATTTTCTTTATCCATTCACCTGTTGATGGACATCTAGGTTCTTTACATAGTTTGGCTGTTGTGGACATTGCTGCTATAAAAATTCGGATGCATGTGCCCCTTTGGATCACTACATTTGTATCTTTAGGGTAAATATTTAGTAGCTCGATTGCTGGTTCATAGGGTAGCTCTATTTTCAGCTTTCTGAGGAACCTCCATGCTGTTTTCCAGAGTGGCTGCACCAGCTTGCATTCCCACCAACAGGATAGGAGGGTTCCCCTTTCTCCGTATCCTCGCCAATGTTTGTTGTTTCCCAACTTGTTAATTTTAGCCTTTCTGACTGGTGTGAGGTGGTATCTCACTGTGGTTTTGATGTGCATTTCCCTGATGCTGAGTAATGTTGAGCACTTTTTCATGTGTCTGTTGGCCATTTTGGCGTCTTCTTGATTTTAATAAATTTTTAGATCTTATCTTATTCTATTAACTTTTCTTAGTATCCCTCCATATTTCACTGTGTAAGAAAATGACATTAATGCCATCTACTCTTCTCTTCACCTCTTTATTTTCTTCCAATTCCTATTTTGTATCAACTATTTATTTTTACATAGCTGAGACTGATAACATTCAATTCTGTACTATAACCATAATTAAACCTTCCAAACTTTTGATTCGAAACATTAAAAACCAATAAATACACTTGATATTATTTTGATGACATAAATGTTTTTTTTTACCACAGAGCTGACCAGGAGGGTAAGATTTTATTCCTTTTTTTTTCTTTTTAACTTTAGTCCAATTGTCTTTTCCCCTAGGCACCTAAAAGGAGATATTTTTGGCCTCTAGAACAAAGGTTTGTCTTTTCTTATGGTGCATTAATTCCATAAAATCTTGTCACATTTTAGATGCCTCGTATTTGGGCCATAATGTTCTCTTGGATTGTTCTGGATTTAAAAAAAATTTTCAATTGCCTCTTCTTTTCTCCTTGAAAATGCATAGTCAGCCTTTAATATATCTTGAAGATCAATACTATCACTTGGAATCCACTTTTCTTAACCCCTAGGAGCCTTCTATTCCAGTCTTAACTATCATTCCTTAACTATGCTACACATTCATCCTCAAGAATATTTCTCCATTGCACTCTTAAAGACACTGTTTTCAGGGTCCTATGGCTTTCCCTTTCATGGTTTCCTCCCTCATTTTGCTAACAAACATACAAATTAACTTCATCAAGCGGAAGTTGTGTGAGTGTGGGAGGCTCTCAGGACACCTACATTTGAAAAAAATGTGTGCGTTTTGCACTCACACTGGGTTGATATTTGGCTGGATATAGAATTCTATGTTTGCAGTAACTTTCCCTTAGGAGTTTAAAGGTAATGCTTCTCTATCTGCTCGTATTATATTGGGGTAAGAAAGTGTGATGCCAGTGTGATTTTCATCCTTCTGTAAGTGATTGTTCTATATGTTTGTTTTTCTGAAAACTTTTATTTATTTATTTATTTGTCCTTTTATACAGAAATGCCATAGGTGTGCGTCTCAGAGTGAGTCTCTTTCAGTCATCTTATTTTGCTTCTCATGCATTTAGTCTGGGAACTTATTACTTATTTAAAAATAATTATATCCTTTTTCTATTGTATATTTCCTTTTCAAAAAACTTATTGGTTAGATAATAGCCCTTCTAGATTGATCTCTGTGTCTCTCACCTTTTCCAGTCTACTTTTTGTCCTGTTGTGTTCTTGTAGCACTTTGACCATTTCCTCTCTTTTTAATTTTAATTCTTATTTTGAATAATTTAATTTCAGCAGCTTTTTTTTTTTTTTCTTATACTCTGTTCTTTTTGGACTTTGCTGTCGTTTTGTGCCATGTCGGGTATAACAATATACTATGAAAGTTATTTATACTATAAAATAATAGGCTTTTGAAAAGTTCGATTCGGTAAATCATTTCTGTTTCTTCAATAGTTTGTCTCTTTTGTAGTATCTATTTTTTGTTCTTTTTGATTATTTTGGAGCCCTGAGTGGGTGTTTTCCTATAGGTCTCTTTCCTCAGCAGATATCTCTGTGGGAAGAGTTGAGCAGCTCTGTCTGTGCACGTGGGTGAGTGAATGGGAAGTCTGTCTGTAGGCATGAGAGGGGGGTACCTCTCAATACACAAATGAAGTAGGCTTGCCTTTTGGACATCAACCCTCACAGAACAGGCCTATCTTTGTAGGCAATTTGAATGGTTTTATCATAGACTTTCTTCTTTGCCTGGATTGTCTCTGAGGTCAGGGTTGGAAAGATGTGTTTTTATTTGGGGGAAAGGGGGTAGTTGGTACAGCTGCTTTATTAATTCCCCTGTTATCATTCCCAGTTCTTACACCCGCCTTCCACACCTGCTGGTGAGCCCATCTGGGGTCTCAGGGGAGATTAGTTTCCTCTTGCCTTGTGCGCCCTCCCTCCCTCGCCCATGTGTCTGGGATTTAGCTCCTTCTGCTCTTGGTCTGCTTCTTCATCACACACCCACAAGACTCTTGTTTTAGTCTCTTGTCTAGTAATCACTACCCCTCCCCAACTTGGTTGTTTTGACTGTTACAGGTTTTTTTTTTTTTCCTTTTGTATCCATTTCCTGTGTTAGGAAAGGGAAGGTAAAAAAAAAAAAAGCATATATTCAGTCTATCAGCTTGAGCTGGAAAGCTGCTCTGTTTTTTCTTTTTCTTTTTTTTTTTTTTTTTAACAAGAAGCATGGTGATTTTCGTATTTCAGTCAGTGTGTTGCCCTTTCACTAAAGTCTTATTCATTTCAGTAGTTTCTTAGTTGATTTTCTAGGTTGGTTATCTTATTCTGCAGGTAAGACCGATTTTGTCTCTTGTAATCTATATACTTACTTTTTTTTCTTGTTTGGCTAAACCACTGAACAATATTGAGTGATCGATAGTAATGATAGCAGATATTGAATGTGATATTTCTAAAGCCCTGTATTGAACTGATTGAATTATAAAGTAGAAAATAGAAACGATTGACTTCATTATATGGAGTCCTGGCTCACTGAGAAGGACAACAGAAATCTCCCACACAGGTGGTATTTTTGAGGGAATGGATTTGGCACTTACAGCCCGAGTACCTCTTGTACTTCTTTGACCAAGAACCACAATTCAGAATTGGAGATGAGGAAGAAAGGAAAGTAAGCTTTTTAAAATAATAAATTCTTCCATTGGAGTTGACCAAATTTCAGATGTCTATCATTATTGGGGGACAAAATTACTTTTATGTCTTGCCAGTAAATCAAGGAAAACAAATCACGTGACTGGCAGCTACACTAGATCTTCTGCCCTAAAGCCAGTAAAGACAGTGAACCAACCAGACAGATACGTGCATGTGATAAATACAGCCTACGTGATTGACAGCTGAATGACATCATTGCAAGGACCAAAAGACTTGGTTATTGATTATCATGTAGAAGAAATCAACTGCTTGATTTACTTTTATTTTCTGAAAGGGCTTTAAGAATTGCCTTGTGTGTGGTGCATAAACAATGGATCTTGGAACACTGAAAAAAAAATAAAATTACAATAAAGTTACATGAAAAGTTAAAGAAAAAAGAATTGCCTTGTAGATGTTAAAACTAATTCACGATATGAAACTCTAGGGTATAATATTTGGAAATGCTTGGTGGAAGTTGCAGGAGAGTGATTTTCTGTCAAAGTGAAAAAGGCTATTTATTAGTTTTGTCCTTAAAGGGACTGTAAGTTAGTTGGAACTATCAAAAAATGAAATGAATTGCCTCTTGTGGTTGTGTGTTCCTCATTAATGGGAGATCATCTGGCAGTAATGTTAAGAGAAGGAATGGGGAGGATGGCCGAACCAGTCTCTTCTGTGTCAAAGATTGTGTGGAATTAAGGAAAACTGTCCTTTAGCATTCTGGAATATAGTATTATATTTCAATATTAAATTATGTAATAAAATAATACAGATATAAAAAGAAGTTATTCATTTTTTTATGTTTTGCATGGGAAATTCCTCTCATAAGTCTAAAAATACGTGTGTCCTTAGACTTTTCTTTAGACAGCTTTATGTTCTTTGTACCATAATCAAATAGTAAATTATTTCTCCAGCTCTGGAAGTAGAACAGACATCTAGTAGCTGAGTTTTATAGTGACTTTTTTTGGTAGCCTCTCTGGCATTTACTTCTTATTTTTTTTATTTTTATTTTTTAAAAGATTTTATTTATTTATTTGATAGAGTCAGAGATCACAAGTAGGCAGAGAGGCAGGCAGAGAGAGGAGGAAGCAGGCTTCCTGCTGAGCAGAGAGCCCGATGAGGGGCTCAATCCTAGGACCCTGGGATCATGACCTGAGCTGAAGGTAGAGGCTTTAACCCACTGAGCCACCCAGGCACCCCATGGCATTTCCTTTTTAAATTTTCCATGGCTACTACTATCTTTTCTCTCCCTCTGTCCCCACCCCCTTTTCCCTGCCCCTCAGTTTAAACCCGCTTTGGTATAGACTGGGCCACCTGTAGTACCTCTCCAACCATTAGTTCTTATCCATTCTCATTGCCTTACTCAAACCATCATCATTTCTCCCTAGGACATAGTGTCCTTTTGCTCCTTCCTTCTCGCCAGGGTAATTTATTAAACTGAAAAACTTCTTGGTATTACTACTCATAGTTCAATTCTGGTGGTGCTTTCAGATTGCTGTCAGGACAAAAAATGTAAAATCATACTATGACATATTTGGTCCTCTGGGATCTGACCCTGGCCTGTTGTCTTTTAAGTCTGTATTGTTTCCTTCTCAGTGTCGTTCACAGGGCACCACAGCCTGCTCTCAGAGCTGCTTTCCTTCCCCTTGTGTTGTAGTTTTTATTGTCCTCATCTAGCTCTCTCATGATGCTGTCTTTCAGCCCTGTATGTTCACAGCCACAGCAGCATGGAGAAGATGTGACATAAAGATGTATTTCTTGTCCCATAATATATGAACTTTCCATGTAGTCAGTAATCAGGTTTTGTCAAATCTCCATTTTCAGGGACATGACTAAGAATCTTGAAGTAGGTAGAAGAAGACTTAGAAATAGTTTGGGGTAGTGACCATAAAACCCACACCTAAAACACATACATGTTAATTCTGTAGGAGAGACTAGGAGGCCCTTCCTCATATGCCTTCACCTTCCAGTTAGAATTCTTACAAATATGACTGCTTGCTCTCCTAGTTCCCAATAGATTAGAAACAACACATTGGAAGATGGGGCAAAGTTAGGATGTCCGAGGTAAGGACTTGGCAAGACTAGAGCTGATATAGTGATAACCTGAGAACGAGGCACTCTGTGGGAAAAGAAAAAACAGTAAAAAGCACATAAGAATACTTAAAAATCACAGCAGTTTGTAGTCAGTATAGAAATAAGATAGACCTGTGCCTTGGTTACATGGTATTATAATTGATGTTCCAAATTGTATCCATCATCATGAGGATATTAATTTCTGTTCTATGCGCTGTTTAAAATGCAGTATTATTGCTTAAAGGTATGAGCAGGGTGAACTCTCAAACATGTGGAATAACCCAGCCTCCTATAGTGCTAGATAAATGAGCTCTTGCTGAGTTTTTTTCTGAAAGCTGCAGGGTATGGTGCTCTGCTTCTGATCATTAATTTCCCTTTGGTTATATTCATATTGCTAACAATGTTATTTAGTGATCTTCTGTTATGGCATTTTTCTATTAATTTCGGATTTCTCCTATCACATTTGGAAACTAGTAAAATGACCCCTTTCTCTTTGCTCTTACTGTTCTTCGGTTCTTTTAATCATGGAGCTGCTTATGAGTTTTCAGTGGTGGCAACCTCAGTGTATCATTAATTCTGATACTATTTTGCATTAAATCCCTCTGACATTTTCCAAACTTTAACTGAATTGGTGGGAAGGAGAAAAGAGGGGGATAAAACCTCCATCTTTGAAGACGGCTGACAGACAATAACCTCAAGGTGTGAGACAACACTTGAGGTGTGGCAGATCCCAGGTGTAGTCACAGTTCTAGAAGTCCCTGTGCTGTGGCTTGGAACCACTTGTCTTCTTGGCGTGAATCACTCAAGACACATTTCTTTCGTCTCTCAGTGTGGTTAAACTCCAGGGGATGTTGGGCTGTGGTACCAGAGGGTGGGGGGGGGGGGCGTGTTGACTAATCTGTTAAGTAACCTTTTATCCAAGAGACTAGTTTCTCATTAGTATTTTGACCAAAAGTGTAGATGGTTGGAAATATGGATTTTTGTTTTTAATTAGTCTCTCTTAGGGACAAGAGGCTTATTTTTGAAGAATGGAATTTTAAGGAAGCCTGACAATCTCAGTTTTCATGTGACTGAAAAATTTTGGCAGCTGATAAAGCTTTCACAACCAGGAGTTCGAGCCAGACTTTCCAGTGGCTAAGCCATTCTCTGGGGTTTAGACTCGTGGGTAGCCTCTACCTCAGCTCTCCCATCACAGTGGTTACCTTTAGGGTGCTTGTGGCACTTTCATGTAACTTACTTCCTAATGGCTTTGAAGGCTCTCATGGGGTTTATCCTTCCATTGTGTATCTTATAAAGATCTTCCCTTTTCTTTCCCATATTTATACATTTTAATCAGGTTAGTTGATACCTACCACAGGCATAGGACAGCATAACGCCTCATTATCTCTGCAGGACAGATCTTTGCCTCCTCTCTTATACAACCACAAAGTTATAATGCTACTGTATTTGCCAGTTTTGTAACTTGAGAGGCAGAAATTGATTGTTTTGCCCAAAATCCTGTAGGAAGACACAAGTAGGCAAAAGCAAGCAGACCTGGGAAGCCACCCAGTTCCATCCCCTCTGCCCTGCACTGTAGCAACCTGACGGTCAGCAGTTCTGCTCGGCTCTTCCTGTCCAATGAGGCAACCAGTTCTCTTGTGCGGTTCTGGCTGTTAGAAAGTTTTCAGGTGATACTTGCTTTTCTCGTAATTCCACCTACTGATTCCTAGTCTCTCTTGTTAAGATCTTGTTTATACCCACTTCTATTTGACTTGTCTTCAAATATTTGGACACCTTCCAAGCCTCCTTGCAGTCCTCTCATCTCCAGTTTGAATATTCTATTCGTCCCTTTCAGCTATGACTTAAATCCTCTGGTTTCCAGATTCCTCCCTATACTGATGGCTGTTCTAATGACCCTTTTAACTTCAGATGACTTAAAAATGACTCTTGAGGTTATTGTCTGTCAGCCAAATGCCTCCTAGGACTTGTTTTCTCCTAGGGTCTGACCTCTGTCATGACCTAGCAGGAGAACAATGCTTTTTTTATGTTTCTATTTTGAAATACTTGGAAAGGTAGTGTGTTGCATGTCACTGGATACGTGAAGGAGATGCGCATAATGTCAAGGATGTTAATAGACAAATAGCAAATTGGGGGTGTGGTGTCCTTACAAAAGTAAATTAAAATAGCTACTTAGAAAGTACCTGTATATGGGGGCACCTGGGTGGCTTAGTCCGTAAAGCGTCTGCCTTGGGCTCAGGTCATGATCCCAAGACCCTGGGATCGAGCCCCCATAGCTGGCTCCCTGCTCAGCGGGGAGCCTGCGCCCTCTCTTTGCCCCTCCCCCCTTGTGCTCTTCCTCGCTATCTTTCTCGCTCTCAAATAAATACATAAATATTTTAAAAAACAAATAAAAACTACTTGTATGGAATACTATAAAATATAGGACATATTAGGATGTATAATACTGGGAGTAATCTTGAGTGAATATCCTCTCAGAGGGGCCCTTACATGCTTTTGTTCTTTGACCAATCCCTCAGTAAACTTGCAAGATTATTTTGCATCTGTGAAACACTGCGTCTTTTGTCAAAAACTTTTAGTTCACAAAAGCTTCATTAACATTTTTTCTTCATGTCAACAAAGAGTGCTTTAATTTTTCCACATTTGCCCACATTGTTTAAAAGAGTCAACATTTGGTCAATACAACTAGGTTGTTACAAACTTTCAGAAAACCCTTAATCAGTGTTGCTAACATTGTTTCATACAGTACCAACTACTCTCCCATTTCCTTGAGGATAATGTTAGCTATGCTTTCTTAGATAATCTCAGCCATTTATCAGTGACGTTTTTATAAATGGCATATTGTTTCTCTTAATCCTAAAATTAAGTTATTGAAAAATATATTGGCCTTACTATAAATTTGGCATTGTGTAGCTGATAGATTTTGCCAAATTATGGCAATGAGAGCTTTAATAGTGCCTATTTTAGGACAAGTGATTCTTTAGTGACAATGTTAACTTCATTCTACTGTAGAGAGTCTTTTTTTTTGTTCCAAGGTAATTTTTAAAAATGTGTGGCTGTTGTAAATATTTAGTTCAGTAATATGTTGCATGTAAGGACATCAATGGGGTTCTGGTGTCATAAGGAAAGGATGTTAAAAACCCAAAATCTCTCAAGTAAATTGTGGTTTGTAATGGTTTTACCCTCAGGAAAGGGAGGCTCATTGAAACTTCCATGACTATTAATTTTGAGAAAAAGCATGCATGGTCTTGTTGGACTGAAGCCTTCAACCATCTTATCAAGCCAAGGATACAAAAGTAGGCTCAGTTTGCATCCCTTCTTGGCTCATTAATCAGAATGAAGATGGTAAGAATATATGGATGGTATGTTGGGTCCTCTGTCAAGTTAGCATAGGGTATGAGTCATGAATATTTCCCATTTCTTGATTTTATCAATTGTCTCCCCAAAGTCACTCACCAGAAGTATACAGTAAGAAGTTGAATTCCTTTGGCTCACTTAACTTGTTTTGGAGAATGGGTGGGAAGGGTTTCCAACTGGAGCTGTGAGTTCTTTTCTTCAGCAGGCGCCTGCCTTTAGCCTTTTGTGAGAATAGTCTGATATGCTTCTTCCTTCTTTTGCTACCATGAAGCATACTATCCCGACTTTTGCAGGCTTTCAGACTGTAAAAGTGATTGCATAGCCTGGTCAGTACACAGAGTTCTGGGGCATGGAACTGATTCTCAGGCCCCAGTTTTCTGCCAGTTGCTGGATGACCTTGGGCAAGTGAGTCAACCTCTTCTCTACTTTCCTTTCTACTTTATGAAATTGAGACTTTCTTTTTCTTCTTCGTCTTAAAAAAGTTTTCAACAATTAAGTAAAAGGTAATAAGGGTTTGTTGAAGGACTTAATACCTATCTGGGACTTTAGTTTATATAGGTAGGTTGACCTCTCACATTACTAGAATAAATTAAATGAAATGCCCCAAATGGGTTCAATATGTATTCCAGATTGTCTGTGTTACCTAGAAGATGTAAGTCTGGTCTAATTTGTATAAATCATTTCAGTCTCTTTTGAGGAAAAGCAATGTGGTTGTTTATGTTTTTCATGTAAATGTATTACAGCATTAAAGGAGTTCAAGGGACACTGAAGGTTGTTTAGTCACTGACACCTCTAAAGTCCCTTCAGTTAGTGTACTTGATTCTTGTGAACCCTTTAAAAGCATCTCGTTAATCAAAAATTTAATTTGCATCGGGATTATTTCATCTCTTCAGGGCTCTCACTTTTAAATTTTGCTCTATTTTTTTGTTTAAAAATAGGTGAATTATGCTCATTCTGGGAAAATATTTGGGCTCCAGCTGACATAAATTTGAGGCCAGTCTCTGTATCCCAGAGGTCTAATATGCTTTTGAAACCTTATTAGCTCATTTATACTCCATTTCTCATATTTGAGTGCCCTATAAACCTGTAGACTTTAAAGATCTGAGCTGCGGTCCTAACCTAATAGTGCAATCGGCTTTTAGATATATAACCATAAAACACCTTAAAGGGAGTCCTCTGTTTATGGATCTAAAAGTGTTGTACTTGAGCTAACAGTGAGGCTAAGGGCTGATGTGAGCTTTTGAAAAGTATAAAGCCCACTGCTAAATGGTGGAACTGTTATCTAATAAGAGTACGTCTATGACTCATTGTAGTTCCCTTGCCTTTTATTCCTATGAGCTGTAGAAAGAACCCACTGTAGGGGGTTGGAAATATTCTTTCTTAGGATTGTGGGATGACAGAGTGGTTGCTTTTTCCAACCACCATATGTGGTGATTAGACTCTTCGGAATGACATTGGGGTACTTTTGGAACAAACAGCAACAGCCTTCCAAATAACTTATAATAAATAAAGTATGTAAAACATTTTCTTCAGCCAGATGTAATGTTCAATAGGAAAGGAGTAAATTTAAAGTGATCTCTTACAGGAAAATTTGGGAAATGCCTGGATGGATTAAGAAAGCAGTCATGCTGTTAGGAATAAACTCCTTTCCAGTTCTTAGGTGAGAATATACAATGGTTTACTTGGATTTCATTTTCATGATTTCTTGGAAAATACATTGATGGGAAAAACCTAAAAACTCAGGGAAGTAATACTCTATTTGAACTTTTAGAGTCATTGTTTCTAGTAATCAAAAACATTTAAGCAGATAGCACACTTCTATGTGGTTCATTTTCCTGAATGTTTAATAACTGATCTGATTTTGTAAAGTAAATTGTATAGTATATGTGGTAGAGTGAAACCCGGTTCCGGGGGGACTTTGGATAAGGTGGCATCTAAACCTGTTCTCTGAGCTCCTGTTCAACCACCTAAAACAGCAGTTTCAGAATTTCTAGGAGAAGGAAGTTAGGGGCTTGAGTGGAGATCAGCTAGAGAACTTGTCTGAAATGGTGTTTTCTTTCCACACAGTGCTTTTACCTGTTTTTTGTTTATTTTAATGGGATTAGTTTGGAGAGCTTTGTATCTGTCATAGCCAAGCTTTGGTGTCTCCAGTGCCTTTCAGATCAGACCCAAGCTGGAGCAAGTATGTGTGCAGAGATTCAAAGTGTACTCCTGACTCTGACTGTGACCAGCCTTGGCTCCCAGAAAGCTTCAGAACATTTTTTACTCTGCAGGATGGGAGGGGAAAAATATAGTAGTGGACAGATTTGTGTGAGGACCTAGACCTTAAAGCTGCCTGGGAACTCCTCAGGGAAGCCTAGTACCTGCCCAGTAGTCCTATGGTAAGGACTGTACACTAGAATACTATAGAAGACATCCTGTCAAACTAGGATATGCTAAAGGCATTCTCATTAAATTATTCTTTCAATTTATTCCTTGGGTAAATAGTCATTGAGCAACTGCTAGCATTTTCTAGGTGTTTTGGAAATGGAGGACATAGTGAACAGAACAGATTATGTTTCCCCCCCAGCCAAGCTGCAGGGATCTGATGGAAGCTGGGGACACAAGAAGGGAGATTGTTCACTCTTCTGTGAGGGCTTCCTGAAGAGTGGCATGTATGAACTTTCCACTACAGGGATGAGAGAACAGGACAACACCATTTCCCCCTTGCCCATGAGCACTCAAGTAATTCAGTGAGCAACACAGCACCCTCAGCGGAGGCTGGAGCCATTTACACAAAGCCCTGAACCCTGCACCCTGCAGGTGCATCTTTCCTAGGCAAGTCCACCTGAGAACCAGTGCTTTTCTCCCAGAAGACCAGCACAAACCCCTCACTTACACCAAGTCTACTGATCATAGAGTGCTGCAAAACTTCATCTCTAGGGGAAATAGGATCTAGCCTCCTTTAACAAGCAGACCCAAACACACATAGTTAAAACTTGCCACACAGTGGGTAAGATCCAAACACTCTCCACTGTAGGTAAGGAGAAACTCTGCAGAGGACTGACCTGAGGGAAAGAGCAGCCAAAACACAATAGTAGAGGGGTACCTGGGTGTCTCAGTGGGTTAATTGTCAAACTCTTGGTTTCAGCTTAGGTCTTGATCTCAGGGTTGTGAGTTCAAGCCCCACATTGGGTTCCATGCCCAGCATGGAGCATACTCAAAACAAAACACTGCACAGCAGCAGAATGCACTCTGAAACACCTCCTGAAGCACAGGCCCAGGACAGTATAGGACCTCTTTTTAATAGAGCTATTAATCAGGAGCAGGAATATAACAGGCTTTCCTAATACAAAAACAGTGACCTAGACAAAATGGCAAGACAGAGGAATTCACCACAAAAGAAAGAACAGGAAGAGGTAATGGCCAGGGAGTTAATCAAAACAGATATAAGTAAGATGCCTGAACCTGAATTTAAAACAACAATCATAAGGATGCAAGCTGGGCTTGAGAAAAGTATAGAGGACACTAGAGAATCTCTTACTGCAGTGATAAAAGAACTAAAACCTAGTCAGGTTGAAATAAAAAATGCTGTAACTGATATGCAAAACTGACCAGATGCAATGACAATGAGGATGGACAAAGCAGAGGAAGAAATCCGTGATATAGAAGATAAAATTATGGAAAATAATGAAACAAAAGAAGAGGGAGAGAAAAGTAATGGATCACAAATGTAGGCATAGGGAACTCAGGGACTACTTAAAGCATAGTAACATTCATATCCTAGGAATCCCAGAAGAAGAGACGGAAATTGGAGCAGAAGGTAGATTTGAGCAAATTATAGTTGAAAACTTCCCTAATCTGTGGAAGGAAACAGTCATTCAAATCCAGGAAGCACAGAGAACTCCCATCAAATTAAACAAAAGCCAGCCAACATGAAGACATATTGAACAATTTGCAAAATACAGAGGTAAGGAAGGAACCCTGAAAGCAGCAAGGGAAAAGAAATCCCTAACCCACAAGGGAAGACATATCAGAAACCTGGCAGGCCAGAAGAAAGTGGTGTGATATATTCAACTTGCTGAAGGGGAGAAATATGCAGCAAAGATTACTTTATGCAGCAAGGCTGTAATTCAGAATAGAAGAGAAAGAGTTTCCCAGACAAAAACTAAAGGAGTTTATGACCACTAAACCAGTCCTGTAAGAAATATTAAAGGGGATCCTTTGAATGGGAAAGAAAAGCCAATAGCAACAGAGACTAGAAAGGAACAGGGAAAATCTCCAGAAACAGTGACTTAACAAGTAATACAGTGGCACTAAATTTATGCCTATCAATAATACTTTGAATGTAAATGGACTAAGTCCTCCAATCAAAAGATATAGGATATCAGAATGCATTAAAAAAACCTGAATAAGACCCATCTATATGCTGCTTGCAAGAGACTCATTTTAGACCTTAAAGACATCTCCAGATTGAAAGTGAGGGGATGGAGAACCATCTATCATGCTAATAGACATCAAAAGAAAGCCAGAGTAGCCACACTTATATCAGACAAACTAGATCAAAGACTCTAATAAGAGATGAAGAAGAAGGGCACTATATCATAATTAAGGAGTCCATCCAACAAGAAGATCTAACAATTGTAAAATGCCCCCAACTTGGGAGCACCTAAATATATGAATCTATAACAAAGACACTCATTGATACTAATACAGTAATACTAGAGGACTTTAACACCCCCCACTTAACAGCAATGAACAAGATCATCTAAGCAGAAAATTAACAAGAAAACAATGGCTTTGATACATCGGACCAGATAGACTTAACAGATACATTCAGAACATTTCATCCTGAAGCAGCAGAATACACAGTCTCTTTGAGTGCACGTGGAACATTCTCCAGAATAGATCACATGCTGGGCCACAAATCAGGCCTCAACACGTAAAAAAAGATTGAGTCATACCATGCATATTTTCAGACTACAACACTGTGGAATGAAGTCAACCACAAAAAAAAATTTGGAAAAACCACAAAATATATGGAGGTTAAAGAACTTCCTACTAAAGAATGAATGGGTTAACCAGGAAATTTATGAAAAAATTAAAAAATGCATGGAAGCAAATGAAAATGAAAACACGACAATCCAAAATCTTTGGGATGTAGCAAAGACAGTCTTAAGAGGGAAATATATAGCAATACAGGCTTACTTCAAAAAGCAAGAAAAGTCTCAGCTACACGACCTAACCTTACACCTAAAGAAGCTAGAAAAGAAACACCAAATAAAGCCTAAAGCAAACAGAAGAAGGGAAATACTGAAGATCAGAGCAGAAATAAATGATATAGAAACAAAACCAGTGGAACAGATCAACAAAACTAAGATCTGGTTCTTTGAAATAATTAAGAGAGAGGACCCTAATAGATAAAATCATGAATGAAAGAGGAGCGATCAAAACCAACACCACAGAAATACAAACAATCATAAGAGAATATTAAGAAAAATTATATGCCAAAAAACTGGGCAATCTGGAAGAAATGGATAAATTCCTAGAAACATACAAACTACCAAAACCAAAACAGGAAGAAATAGAAAATTTGAACAGACCCATAACCAGCAAAGAAATTGAATCAGTAATCAAAAATCTCTCAACAAACCAAAGTCCAGCCCAGATGGCTTCCTAGGGAAATTCTACCAGACATTTAAAGAAGGGCTAATATCTATTCTCAAACTGTTCTAAAAAATAGAAATGGAAGGAAAATTTCCAAACTCCTTCTACAAGGCCAGCATTAGCTTGTTTCCAAAACCAAAAAAAGACCCTACTAAAAAGGAGAATTACAGGCCAATATCCCCAATGAATATGGATGCTGAAATTCTCAACAAAATGCTAGCAAATTGAATCCAACATACATTAAAAGAATTATTCACCACCACAGCCAAGTGGGATTTATTCCTAGGCTTCAGGAGTAGTTCAGTATTTGCAAAGCAATCAACCTGCTACACCACATTAGTAAAAGAAAGGATAATATGAACCATATGATCCTCTCAGTAGATGCAGAAAAAGGCATTTGATAAACTATAGCATTCTTGATAAGAACCCTCAACAAAGTAGGGATAGATGGAACATAGTTCAAAATCATAAAGGCCATATACAAAAGACCCACAGCTAATATCATTGTCAGTGGGGAAAAACTGAGAGCTTTTCTTTTCTGGTCAAGAACAAGACAGGGATGGCCCTTCTCACCACTGTTGTTAAATATAGTACTGGAAGTCCTAGCCTAACCAATCAGACAACAAAAAGAAATAAAAGGCATCCAGATTGGCAAGGAAGAAGTCAAACTTTTTCACTATTTGCAGATGACATGATGCTCTATGTTGAATATCCAAAAGATGCCACCAAAAAATTGCTAGAAGTATTATAGGAATTCAGCAGAGTCACAGGATATAAAATCAACCTACAGAAATCTGTTGCACCTCTATACACCAATAATGAAGCAGCAGAAAAAGAAGTCCGGGATTGATCCAATTTACAATTGCACCAAAAGCCCTAAGATATCTAGGTATAAACCTAACCAAAAAGGTAAAAGATACAAAATACAGAATGCTTATGAAAGAAATTGAAGATGCATAAAGAAATGGAAAAACATTACCTGCTCATGGATTGGAAGAGCAAACATCATTAAAATATCTATACTCTCCAAAGCAATAAACATTTAATGCAATCCCTATCAAAATACCACCAGCGTTTTTCATAGAGCTAGAACAAATAATCTGAAAATTTGTATAGAACCACTAAAGACCCTAAATAGCCAAAGCAATCCTGAAAAAGAAAAGCAAAGGTGGCGGCATCACGATTTTGGACTTCAAGCTCTATTACAAAGCTGTAGTCATCAAAACAGTATGGTACTAGTACAAAGATACATAGATCAATGGAACAGAATAGAAAACCCGGAAATGGACCCACAACTATATGGTCAACTAATGTTTGACAAAGCAGGAAGGACTATCTAATGGAAAAAAGATGGTCTCTTTGGCAAATGGTGTTGGGAAAACTGGACAGCTTTATTATACCATTCACAAAAAAATTCAAATGGATGAAAGACCTAAATGTGCTACAAGGAAACCATCAGTCTCATAGAGGAGAACATAGGCAGCAAACTCTTTGACTTAAGCTGTAACAACTTGTTACTAGGCCCATCTACAGAGGCAAGGGAAGCAAAAACAAAAATGAACTATTGGGACTTCATTTAGCTTAAAAGCTTCTACACAATGAAGGAAACAACAAACCAAAGGCAGCCTATGGAATAGGAGAAGATATTTGCAGATGACGTATCTGATAAAGGGTTAGTATATAAAGAACTTACATAACTCAACACCCCAAAACCAAATACTCCAAATTAAGAAATAGGCAGAAGACATGAGCAGACATTTTCCTCAAGAAGACATCCACATGGCTAACAGACACATCAAAAGATGCTCAACATCACTCAGCATCAGGGAAATGCAAATCAAAACCATGATGAGATAACTACCTCATGCCTGTCAGAACGGCTAAAATTAACAACACAGGAAACAACGGATGCTGGTGAGGATGTGAAGAAAGGGGAACCCTCTTACACTGTTGGTGGGAATGCAAACTGGTGCAGCCACTCTGGAAAACAGTATGACAGCTCCTCAAAAAGTTAAAAATGGAACTGTCCTATGCCCCAGCAAGTGCCCTACTAGATATTTACCCAAAGTACACAGAAATACAGATTTGAAGGGTTACATGCTCCCTGATGTTTGTAGCAGCATTATCAATAGTAGCCAAACTGTGGAAAGAGCCCAAATGTTCATCAAGTAATGAATGGATAAAGATGTTATGTGTGTGTGTGTAGTATGTATATGTTATATATATTTGTATACATATATAATACATATATATGTATAAATATTATTACACACATATATAATATATGTACATATTAGATATATAATGGAACATTACGCAGTCATCAAACAGATGAAATCTTGCCATTTGTAACAACATAGTTGGAGCTAGGGAGTATTATGCTAAACAAAATAAGAGAGAAATACTATATGATTTCACTCATAGGTGGAATTTAAGAAACAACATCAACATATGGGAAGAAAAAAAAGAGGGAAGCAAGCCATAAGAGACTGTTAAGTATAGAGAGCAAACAGGGTTGCGGGAGGGAGGTGGGTGGGGGATGGGCTAAATGGGTGGTGGGTCCTCAGGAGGGTACTTATTGTGATAGGCACTGGGTGTTATATGTAGGTGATGAATCACTGAATTCTACAGCTGAAACCAATTTTACTATATATGTTAACTAACTAGAATTTTAATGAAAATTTTAAAAAGAGAAGGAAGCTGTATAAATATTTGGGGAGGAAACGTAGGCTTAATTAATAGCATGTGTGAAGGGCCTAAGGTAGGAAGATGCTTTGACTGTTGGAGTAACAGCGAGGCTGGTATGATTGTAGGAGATTAGGTTGTAGAAGTAACTGGTAGCCAGATCAGAAACAAAATAGGGATGCCTACTTTCTCCATTATTAATCAGTGCAACTCCGGAGGATCTAAATAATGATATAAGACTAGAACATTAAATTATTATAGACAAAAGAGAATAAAACTATTTGAACTTTTACAGTTCATATTTGAACTTGTTCATACACTTGTGAAGTCTGGGAAACTGTAAACAATTGACAGTACAAGAATTGAGAAAGGAAGCTTGATATACAATAAATATTTAAAATGCAATAGTTTTCCCCTATTCTGTTGACATATAGCCAGAAATGGAAAACAGCCAAAAGATCCTACTTAAATAAAAATAAAGAACCATGAGAGACTGTGGACTCTGAAAAACAATCTCAGGGTTTTGGAGGGGTGGGGGGGTGGGAGGTTGGGTGAGGCTGGTGGTGGGTATTATGAGGGCATGTATTGCATGGAGCACTGGGTGTGGTGCATAAACAATGAATTTAGAACACTGAAAAGAAATTTAAAAAATAAATAAAAAATTAAAAAAAACCCTAAGGATACATTGTAAAAGAAAGATAGTAGATTTATACAGAAAATAATAAAATCTTATAGAAGACCTTAAAACCAGACTCAAAGATACTGTTCTTGGATGGCACAGCAATATAACACAAACCATTTAATACAACCCCAATTTCAGTGCTTAAGGAGTTTTTTAGTCTTTTTTTATTTTTACTTTTTATTTATTTTTTAAAGATTTTATTTATTTATTTGATAGAGACAGAGATCACAGGTAGGCAGAGAGGCAGGCAGAGAGAGAGGAGGAAGCAGGCTCCTTGCTGAGCAGAGAGCCGGATGTGGGGCTTGATCCCAGGACCCTGGGATCATGACCTGAGGCGAAGGCAGAGGCTTTAACCCACTGAGCCACCCAGGTGCCCCTTTTTAGTCTTTTTTTAAACTATCTAAAAGTATTTGCAACTTTACGTAGAAGAATAAATGCTCCAGAATAGGCAAAAAAGAACAGTGAACAGGATTTTTCATTAGCTGAAATTAAAACTAACTGTAATGCCATGCTAACAATCAATGGCTAGCAGATAACATACAGGGTAGGGATTAGCAAACTTTTTTCTGTAAAAGGCCAGATAGTAAATATTTTCAACTTTGTGGGCCAAATTGCCTCTCCCTTGACTACTCAACTGTGTCTTTTAGGGTAAAAGCAGCTCTATGGATGTGATTTATTTTTTGAACTGCAGTTTGCTAATTCGTGATATTTATCTTACAACAAAATAGTGCTCAGAAACTGATAGCATGATATGCAACAAAAGTGATATTTTAAGTCTCTTGCAGAAGAGAGTTTATTTAATAAATGGTGCTGACAACATTTATATTAATTTATAAAAATAATATCAAATTCCTACTTAACACATACAATTAAACTCTTGGTGCGTATTTAAATATGGGAACTAAAGAAAATAATAAAAGAAAATTTAAAAAATATTGTGTAATTTAGGATTAGAGGATGTATTTTTAAATAAGACAGCAGGGGACAGAAAGTACAGAAACTAAAGAAAAGGAGAAAGATGTTTGATTGCATATATGAGTGAAATTTTGTTTATGGCAAAGTTATAAAATTTGATAATTTATAATCTATAAACAAATGAAAATGACAATCTGTAAAAAATATTTGTAATATATATGAAGAAAAAGGGCTAATATCCATATCATGCAAAGTGCCTCTTCAATTGACCCAGTTAAAAAAGAGGACAAAGAGGTCTGTTCTTGTGAAGAGAAATCAAATGTCCAGTGGCTATAGGAAAAGATGGTCAGTATCGCTAGAAGCTGTCTTCTTCTGTAAAATAGGATACTTAGAGTACCCATTTCATAGTATTGTACCTACCTCGTAGTTCATACCAACCTCATAATATATGAAAAGATTAAATCAGATAATACAAATAAGGCATTAGAATGCTCAGCACATAGTATGTGTTCAATAAATGGTAGTTAATTGCTCTGTAGAAATAAAAGCATGAGTAGGCAAAGATTACTGTGAGGAGGCTGTTTATTTCAGTTTTTAGTTGGGAATAACTGGAAACAAATGGAATAGTCTGTTAATAAGGAAATAATGGAATAAATTATTTATCATTACTGTGGAGTTTCCTGCCTGCACTCAGGTACAGCTTCTCCTATATCAACATCCCTCATTAGAATGGTTCCTTGTTTATTATTATTATTATTATTATTATTTTTTATTTTGGAAGTTTGAACCTCTTACTATTTTTTAAGTCCAGGGTAAACCTTCTTTGGCATATCACAGTCATCCAAAGTTCATAATTTATCTTTGGATTCACTCTTGGCGTTGTACATTCAATAGGTTTGGACAGATACATGATAACATATATCCATTATTGAAGTATTGAGTGTCCGTTATTGAAGCATAGAGTAGTTTCACTGCCCTAAAAATCCTCTGCTCAGTTTATTCATCCCTCCTTTGCACTTCCACAATTCCTGGCAACCACTGAACATTTTATTGTCGCCGTGATTTTTCTTTTCCCGGAACATCCTATAGTTGAAATCATACGTAGCCTTTTCAGATTGGCTTCTTTCACTTCGTAATGTGCATTTACAGTTCTTGTATGACTTTTCATGGCTTGATAGCTCTTTTCATTTTAGTGTCAAGTAATATTCCATTGTCTGGATGTACCACAGTCTATTTATCCACTGACGTACTCAAGGACGTATTGGTTGCTTCCAGGTTTTGGCAATTAGGAGTAAGGTTGTTTTAAACATTTGCACGCACGGGTTTTTGTGCGGATGTAAGTTTTCAGGTCCTGTAGTAAACTCTGTTTTTATTTTTAAAGATTTATTTATTTATTTGAGGGAGAGTGAGAGAGAGCCCATGAGTGAGGGGGGAGAGGAAAAGGGAGAGAGAATCCCAAGCAGATTCCACACTGAGCACAGACCCCAACTTGATTCCACAACCCTGAGACCGTGACTCAAGCCTAAGCCAAGAGTTGGACACTTAATCGACTACTCCACCCAGATGCTTCTAGTAAATTCTAATGAACAAAAATGCTGGATCATATGCTAAGAATGGGTTTAGTTTTAGAAGAAACTGCCCAGCTGTCTTCCAGAGTGGAATGAATGAGAGTTAGGGTTAGGGTTAAAACAGTGTTTTATCAGACAGCTCTTTTGCAATTACTTTCTCCAAGTCTGTGGCTTGTTTTCTCATTCTCTTGATATGCTGCCTTTTGTAGAGCAGATGTTTTTAATTTTAATGAAGTCCAGCTTATCAACTAATGAATATTGGATAGATGGATAGTATCTTTGGTGTTCTATCAAAAATGCCACCAATGTCCCCCGCCTGTCCCAACCCCAAGATACCTAGTAGCCAGTCTACTGGTGCAGACCAGGGGAATTCCACAG